AATGAAATAAGAAAATGTCTACAACAAGCAGCGTTGGTTAACTACACTAGAGTCTCTGATTATGCACAGATTGAAGGTGCAGAACCAAGTAATGAATAAATGAATGACTAAAAGAAGAAATGGGATAAGAAAAAAAATAAGAAAAAAATCAAGTGCTCTTAGCTCATTGTGCTCTTAGAGTGCAAGTCACATAAGCATGAAACAATTCTTAACTATGTAGTGCTAAATGAGATTTAGTTATCAACTAACTAAGAATTGAGAACAATGCTACAAAGGAATTTAAATAGTTGGCATTGTGTTTATGCTTTGTTGAATTCTTAGTTAGTTGATAACTAAATCTTATTTAGCAATACATATTAAAAATTGTTTCATGCTTATGTATGTGACGTGCACTCTATTATTCATGATTTTGGCATGTATCTGTACCTCTATCAAGTGATTATCACCATCTACAGTTTAAGGTGGCTTTAGTTATTGTAAGTATGCTGTCAAATAGTATATTATTAAAACGGTGTGCTTTGCAATCAGAGACAAGTAAGGACGATGCTTCACCTGATGAGAGATTACAAGGTGTATTACACCTGGCTGACTTGTGCATTGATCTCCTTCAACAGAACGAAGAACATCATTCTGAGGTATATTTTATTTATCACTTTGACTGCTTGTGTTTCTTGCTATTAGAAAAATTGCAGGAAAACCATGAAATAAAATCAAACTAAATACTAACAAATAGCTGCTAATTATAGACAGATTGTCAGTATCAATGAACCAGAATGCAAACAAGATGAATAAAAAATGATCTCATGTGGATTCATCTTCATTGTGTTCTGGTTCATTGATACTGACTAACTGTCTCTAAATAGCTTATATTTGTTAGTATTTAGTTTGATTTTATTTCATGGTTTTCCTGCCTTTGCTCTAAGAGTTAGGAAGTTGTCCTTCAGTAGCATATTGAGGTAAAAAGAGAGTTAAGGATCATACACTACTGTGAAATATCTTGACGAGCTTTTTGCCRGAAKCCGGCATCTTCAKGTCACGAAAATACAATATACGTTATATTGTATTTTTGTGACCTGAAGATGCCATGTCTGGCGAATGCTCATCAAGACATACTTGACTTTCACAGTAGTGTACGGGCCTTAACTCTCCTTTTGCTCTAAGAGTATGTTTTTTGTGTTTTAGGCTTTTGCATGGGTTAGTGATTTAATGACCGAACACCAAGAGATATTTTGGTCATTGTATTCTGTCGATATGGATGAAGCACTAGCCACTCAACCTCCTGATACATGGGATAGTTTTCAACTATTCCAACTCCTTAATGAGTATCTCAGTAGTGACTGTAAGTAAATACAAACACTGGTTTCATTGCTGCATGTTAGATAGAGTGCACACCACGAAAGCGCTACCAGAAAAGGAAATTTTCTTTGTTTATGCCTTACTGAATTCTTAATTAGTTGATRACAAAATCTTATCAGGCGCTAATTAGTTAAAATGGTGGGAACTAGCGGTGATTTAGTGTGAGCTGCGTCGGTATTTCTAATCAGAAACAGTTGTGTAAAAAGATAAATTTAACACCGTAAAAAAGTATGTGAAATAACTTACTGACCTTTCGAACGTTAATACTTCGTCAGAGTTCATTTTSTTGTCCGAAACATCAGTAAGTTATTTCACCTAATTTTTTTACGGTGATAAATTTATCTTTTTACACAACTGCTAATTAGTGAAAAATTTTTTCACACTTCTGTGGCGTGCACTCTAAAACCTAAGATAGTCACTAAAACTACTGATAGTTTTTATTGAATTATTCATCTATCGCTTACCGTTATTCCCTGTTCATTTTGTTTTTGTTTAGCGGTTTTGTGCCGTGGTAAATTCCATATACACTTGCGTGAAACATTTGCCCCACTTGTTATCCGGTACCTTGATCTTATGGAGTCATCTATTGCACAGTCTCTGCACAGAGAGTTTGAAAAGGAGACATGGGTAGCTGTTGGGTAAGTGTTTGGTGTTACATATATGTTATTTACCGGCTGGGAGGTCCGTATAGGAAAACACTGCTCGAGGTATTGACAGTACGGAACGAGCACAGCGAGGTCCGTATATAAAAGACCGAGGGCAGTGTTTTCCTATACGGACCGACCTATGGCCGGTAAATAACATTTCTATTTCTTTTATTTGTATTTTATACAACTTTATTCGCAGCCTAGCTGCAGRATACCGTCGGACTGGGCAGATCGTGAAAAACCGGACCACGCGCTAGCAAATCACAGCGCGCGAATGACTAGGATACCGGACCGGAAAAAAATAAGTTATCTTATGTATATAACAAGTGAATATATGTAGAGTATAACAAGTTGTTATCCCTAGGGCTGGTTGTAATTCATCTGAGGAACTATTCTGGAAACTGGGTGCCCTTCAGAAGTTTGTGACTGACCTGAATTGGCCTGATGAAGTAATGGAGGCCCATCTTGTCAAACGACTTAAACTCATGTCGTCAGACATGGTCATGTCATGTGTCAAGAGGTATTCTAAGAAATTATCAATTACCTCTACTTATTAAAGACTGTTGTGTGGTGGGGTACGTTAAATACTCTTGCTGTAAAAACCCTGTCCTTTGCTGTCCTTAGAATATTCGATTGTACCTATGAGTTGTATAGTTTTATAAATCCTTGTGTTCTTTGAATATGTCAATTTATGAAATATTTTTGTCACCAGAACTAGAGAAGCAATTGAAAAATGGATTAAAAATGCAAGTTTTACCATGGATTCTGTGATACCCAATAAAGTGATGGTCATGCTTAATGTTATTAGTCAAGCAAAAACACAGGTTTGTTGAATGTTGATTTTATTGATTAATTTATTTTGATATGTTTTTGTTCACGTTTTTTCTCCCTTTCTTCCATTTTTTCCTGTTCATTCAATCAACACTATAACGCATGTAAACGATTGCTGATTGATTTTTTCATTTCTATATTCATTCGTTTTTCTTTTTCATTCATTCATTTATTCATCCATATTTCGTTCTTTTGTTCAATTTATCCTTTGCTTTCTCATCCATCCATTCACTTTTATATATTTTTTTCTTTTTGAAGTCGAAAAATCTGTGCGCAAGTGAAGAAACTGAAAGTGAACAGGTACTCAATAAAATCATTCTTACTCTCTTATCTAGACTTTTTATATTGTTTTACATTAATTGAGAACTAAGTTTCCATGTGTTTGAAACTTTACAATCAATATGTAGTCACTGTTATTTATTTGCAACTTTATTTGTTTGCTTGTAGCGACGTTACCATTCAGATGTATCTTCCTTTTTATCTGAGACACAGAAAGACGTGTCCAGTCAAATTATAACAAAGGTAAAAACATATGACTGTTTAGTCTTCTCGCAGCCGTGTTTAGTTTCCGTCACGCGTCACACAATCTCTCCAGAGATAGGTTGCGTGACGCGTGACCGAAACTAAGAGAGAGGTTGCGTGACGCGTGACCGAAACTAAACACGGCCGCGAGGAGACTAATGACTATCAGTGATAGTGGTCTGAATTCTTAGTATGTGAACAATCCCTGTTCATTTGCTGTAAAGGCAGGCCTAGAGTTAATGTGCTTTATAGGATGAACACGCCAAGGCAGTGTTCATTAAAGGGAGCACAAACATTATTGTCATCACTGCTACCATCATTGCTAATTATAAATTATTGTTATAATATAGTCATCACCCATTCAACAATTACCAGTAATCAGTTAATGTATTTTGTATGGATTTTCCAGTTAAACTCTGTAACCGAATCATTGCTGCATAAACTCTCAAGATACGACCAAGGGTCCATCCTTTCTTCGGTATACTCGGCCTTAAAGGTCAGTGTATTATACAGAATATGCGCAAAGTCGGTGTTTGATGATAAAAACGCATTCTTGCRCTTCATAGKGAAATYATCTTCAAATATGTTGTGAAATAACTTTCCTTTTTCTAAATATTTCTGRCAGAACCCTGGAGACGAACTCTATAAAGGTTTTAACAAATTTCTGAGAGAAAATCTAAAGCAAGTCATGGAAGTTCTTAAGGAAGAACAGCTTAAGAAGTATATTGTGAAGGTATTTGATTAAACCTGTGAGAACTGCATATCCCATTCAAATCAGACGTCCATATTTTATCATTATATCCCGTTGTTTTTTCTGAAAAAAACTAGACCATTGAGGAGAAAGAGACCCGGGGAAGACAGTTGACGTTGGGAATAATACTGCGCTCGACCACAGGGAACCCAAAGAKAGAGAAAGGAGGAGGCTTATTATAGTGTATGGTTTTTTTTTTTTTCAGCTATGGTACACTCCCATGCTTGGTACTATTTGTGAGTGGYTGTCACACCGACTGAGCGTTTCTTTACATGTATATCAATTGAAAACCCTTCTACCTATTGCCAAGGTACTMAACAACACAGAATTATGTCAAAAACCCGTGAAATATAATGAAAGACAAGTACATTTCATTAACCATGAATTGGTCTTACTTAACTCTTTTCCCAGCAAGTGTCTTATATATGTTTGAATGCTGCGTTTCAATGTATTCACTGAAATKTTTGTCTACGTTGTTTTCCCGCCAGGAATTACCAAAGATTTTCCAGATTTGTGAGCTGTATGGTCTTCCAGCCAAGCGCCTAAGATGTCCTTTGTATGGTACRCTGTTGTCAAGGTTACATATTGAGGAGGCAATGCTTAAGGGGGAGCAAATCGACTGCATTGATGACTACACGGGCTATAAACACTCAGACGACAGTAGCAGTGAAGATGAGCTATAGCTTGGCTAGTGTATAATGCGGTTTTGATTGGATAGCAACAAAGTTTTGTAGAAAACTACACTTGTATAATACGAGACCTGACCTAATGTTATTGAACAACTAGTTTATATAACGCGAGGTCTTATTTTCTAACTAGAGTGCACGGCCAAAAAAGCATGAAACAATTCTTAACTATCAACATCTAATAAGATTTAGTTATCAACTAACTAAGAATTCACTGGGGCATGAACACAATTCCAGAAAGGAAACTTGTCTTTGTTTATGCCTCACTAAATTCTTAGTTAGTTGATAACTAAATCTTAGAGTGAAGTCAATGAACCCGTGAAATACATATTTCACTATAATTACATGTTATTACTTGATAATTCCATTGTTTTCTTTTGTGTCTATTTGACTATTACAGTTTAAGTATTTACTTTTATTTCACGGGTTCAATGCCTTCACTCTATTAGGCGCTAATTACTTGATAATTGTTTCATGCTTATGTGGCGTGCACTCTATAATGTTTGTAAACAGCTAGTTTGTATGACGCATGTTCTGTTTCGCTTAGTTTGCTGCAAACACTATGGTTTATAACGTATGGTGTTTTTTGATAAGTAGAATGTTTGGTAAATACCATTTTTATAAAGCAAAAGGGGATCTTCCACCGTCATTCATATCAGAATGCTCGTTCCACACGCATGATTTGTGAATTTACAGCTTGTTCTCCATTTTCACACTTTTTCTAAATATACAACACTATTTGGCTGTAAAATACTAAAGAATGATAAATTTTATAAATTTACACATTAAAAATATAGAAGGCATTTCGTTAAATATTATGAAAGATTAAATATTCAAAGTGTAAACGTATTTTGTGTACAGAACAAAAATTGAGGCAAAAATAWAAATAGTACAGAAGAAAAATWAAACAGTTTTTTGACGTTAGACTTCTTGGGTGGGAAAACGTTAACAAAATGTTGGGATAGAAAAGTAAAAAATAAATTGAAAAAAAAACTTTTATTTAGGGATTGCAAAATGGCATCACTTAACTCTTCTGTTTTACTTTCATTCCTTTTTGTATTAAAAAAAATATTTTTATGTTTGCATTGATTTTACAATTAAATGAATGAAATCGACCCTCGAGGTAGATTTTTCAAATGAAAATTTAGTTCCTTTTTTCAAGGGCGAGGGTCATGCAAAATTACACAAGTTCAGTGATGTTCGATATCATGTGAATAAACAAGCTGTTTATGTGTTGTATTCGATTTTTTTAGTCTAGAACTAAAAATGTTTAATGAAGGTAACTAGGACGTGTCTTATTTCTGAGTTTTAAACGGAAGCACATTTCTAAAGAGAAGACCTGTTTTCCAACAAAAGAGCTAAAATCCAGTTCATTAGTCCAGGAAATTGCCGACGTCATGAAATCGTTACTGATCAAAAACAGCAACAAAATTTTAAAAAAGTTAATCTTATAACTGTGATTATTTTTTCTAAAATTCAGAGTCTAGATGTAGTTTTTCACAGAATAATATATAAATAGCTCTTTGAAAGATGCCACTAATTTCCATGACACTCCATATGTTTTTCTCCCTGATTTCTTTGTTCTTTATCTGCACTACTTCCGTTTTTTCTTTCTTTTATATTCGAATATTTAGAAGATTTTTCAATTCAATTTCATTCACTAACGAAGAAGCTTCTCCGAACAAGAACACGCGCAGCAAATCGCCAAGTCATGTATTTGAACTTCACAAGCACACAACCTTCGGCGGTGCCCGTGACCAATGCTGGGTTCTTTCTCTTTGATAATTTTGGAGTCGAGTTTTTTAGCCTGTTGATTGTGGCTGTAATGTGCTCTATGATGGCCTTGTTTGGCATATATCTGTCCTGTTGTGGGGCATCTTCTAAGGAACAGCAGTTATACGCGATTAATCATCCCGAAGAGGTGAAGAATACCATGACTGACATGGGACTGATGTAGCTGGTAAGACACTGGAAGTAATTGCAATAAAAAGTCATATTTTTTTCAAGTAATTTATCGATGGGTTTCTTCTTGCTAATGAAAGCTTTGTTTAGATTTTTCAAGCAAACTGCGTCATTTCAAGACTAATAAACACCGACATAGACCTCTAAGCAAACATTATCCCTCTTTCGGTGCCCTAAAGAACAAACACTGGGTCGCTATAACTTTCACACTCAACATYCCCTGTTATCAAATTCAAAATCAGTGGGATCGATTATTAGTGAGTGGTGTGCAGCCAAAGCAGGTGCTCAAGTCTTTTTTGCGTTGAGGGGCAAGAAAGACTTCATATCCTTTAGTGCCTAATTGCGGTAGCTATAGGCAATCTTATCTATATTGCGCAAGTATGCTTTCGTGGCATCTTTGGGTACTTTCGATGAAATATCGACAAAACTCTCAGTCGTTTTAAAGTTTGATTTATATWTTTTTTTCTATTTTTTCTTTTTTTTCCTTCGAGATTGTGATGGAAATGTCGTCAATTCAATTTTTTTTCAAAGAATTTTTTTCATTGCGTTTTTAATCAGTCGAGTTCTGCGTATAATTCTTGTGAAAAGAAATAAGTCCTAAATCACACTGTAAATATACAGTACGTGGCAGAATGTTACAATCGTGGAATTAACTCAAGAAAAGAAATCGATAGATCAAGGTCTGCGAGAAATGGGATTTTTTCAGATGAACGCCGCCAGTCAAAAGCATAAGAAAAGGTGCGATAATTTACATCCATTATTATTATAGTCGAAAACAGATATTTTCGTGCGTTAAGTTCGACACGACGAAAGCTCTAAAGTTTACTCAGCGTCTAGCTTTTGCCGTGCAGCACGACTGGAGCTGCCGTGTCACTGCCGTGCTACGGTCGCGCGCGCCGAACTCGACTGATTCGTACGTCGAGCTTTTCATGTGCTAAATTCAAACTAATTCGGTGCGACACTGGCTCGACGTATGAACCGGGCCTTAGATCTTTCTTTTTACTTATGAATTTTTGAAACCTCAAAAGGGGTTCCTCCCATGGAGAGGGGGACATTGGGGTTTGCGGGATTGCGGGATTGACCTTTTTTTCATGCGATATTGCGGTAATTTGGCAAAATAAATGCGATAATGCGGGATTTKTAKTTTRTGCGATATGCGRTRTTTGAAGTTTTAAGATGCGGTATTACGGGAAAAATCGCTTAAAATGTCGGTATTGCGAGAAAAATGCTTGCAGGTCTAATTTTTCTAATCGATTTTTTCATGCGGTAATGCGGGATTTTTGAATTTTTTCGCGGTATTGCGGTATTCAGAGCCCCCCAATGTCCCCCTCCTTGGATTTCGGCTTTGAGCACATGAAGGCAGCCAATCACGTCATCACTTAAGAATATAGATTAACCAACCTATTAATGCATTTTATTCATCATTTTCTTTTCAGCTCCAAGCGCATCAGAAGCTTTATTGTGTACATAAATCCTAGCRTCGTCTGCTTGTAAAAGTGTTGCACTGTGCGTCATCAAAGACAAGAACTTAATCTTCTTTATATGCAGCAAGCAATAAAACATACACCTGTTTAAAGATAACGTTTAGCATTTTACAAACATTGAAAATGTATTAAATAAATATCTTGGTGTTATAAGAATAAATTGCACATCGTATAGACTGAGTGATTAATTGATTGACGTAGATTTGCACCAGCGTCTGCTGTGCCTTTCATATTCGCTGTGTCTAATTGGTTTGATAGGTGAGGAGGTTGACTGGGAGTGACAAAGATGAATGGCTTATTTTCATTATTACGTCATTGATTTTAATCTGCTTGGATCTAATTTGTGCGCTTTGCTGYATCGATGTATTTGTTAGAAGACTGTAGAAATTATTTTTTAATCTCAAAAAAATTGTTGTACTGAAATGTTGGTCTCGGTTTTTTAGTACTATTTATGTCTGTCTGTCCACACTACTCGAGCCAATCAGATTCCAGTAGTTCACGTGGTCTGAGCTGCACAGTCTGTCCATTGCACGTCTGCACTCTTTGCTCACTTTCTTTCGTTGTTCGGTCTTTTAAATTGTATCTCAAAATGTCTGAATACCATCGTCCAGATCAGAAGAAAGTCCAATCTCTAAAAGACATAGCTAATAAGCTAAGAATTTATAGTGTGAAAGCCACAAATGCTTCAAAGTCAGGGTAGGTGCTCGTCTCCTCGTGTTCACTAATTTGGTTATTGACCAATCGTTGGAATTTGCTGCAATTTTCTCTCTCAGGCATCCAACATCATGTGCATCTATGGCAGAAATAATGTCTGTATTGTTTTTTAACACGATGCGATATAAAGGTGAGATGGTCTCTATATACATTTTTTCTTACTTGCTATTAGTGTTAAGTTATGTTCTGTCTGTTCTGGACCTTACAATCAAATAAAGTGTCATTTGAATATTAAAGTCTTTTAATTAAACTTTACGTTCACATGTACGCATTTGCACAATATGGTGGTATAGTGAAGGCTTAAACCTTAATACTTAAGTAATGCAAAATTGAAGAAGTCTTAAGTTATCTAGTCCATGGCAATCWTCTTGTAACCTGTAGAATGTGTAAGCTAAATTTTGTTAAGTTAATTCATGCTTTTTAATATTTTGAATTTGTGATAAGAATTGATATTTCTCTGTTTTTATCTAATACTATATAATAAGTTGTTAATTATTGTTATACGTAGGTTATTCCAAGAGATATTAAATTGCTTAGTCATTTTATATTGGCTTGAGTGCCTATAACTCTATTGTATTAATAACTTTGTGTAAATGTAGTAATCTTTTTATGCTAATGTTTTTTCAAACTGTTTTTTTTTATTATTTTCAGTCAGTCATCCAGATGATCCTTCCAGTGATAGGTTTGTACTCTCAAAGGTGAGGCCTTGATGRTTATGTCTGATTCTCAATCTTCATGACATTGACATTGCAAAATAAGAAAAAAATCAAATATTTTTTTTATGTCAATGTTACGATGATGTTTCATCATGATTTTTTTCACACTGATAAAAAAGATTAAAGGCGTAAGTTTTAATTTTAATTTTGATTCATTGTTATATGTCTTTAATGAACTGCCAAGGCTTTAGACTCAAATTGACCATGCTAAAAAAGACATGACAYAAGAATGGTTTTAAAAATTRTAATCCTCCATATTCATAACTTGAGATGTTCTCCTGCTCTTGGGAACATTTATGCCTCAAAACAACACTATCAAAACATTTGTCTTTCTCTYTCAGGTGGTAAGCTAGGTAATWAGGSTATCATTCTGTGTTGGTATTGATGTTTTTCAACTTGCAGGGTCATGCCGCTCCTGTTCTGTACTCTGCTTGGGTTGAGGCTGGTCTTTTCACCGAAGAAAAACTGTTGACATTGAGRAAGATCGACTCTGAGTTGGAAGGTCATCCAGTGCCGGTAAGTTAACTAGTAAATGGGAATTGTCATTTTCACTTCTACAGTAATACAAAGTTTGTTTTCATTTTAGCATAGACAGTCCTTTGTTGACGTGGCAACCGGCTCTCTTGGTCAAGGACTCAGCTGTGCTTGTGGCATGGCATACACTGGTAAACACTTTGATAAAGCAAGGTAATATTTTACAATTAAACTTCAGAATTAACCTCTTGCTTGTCATCACTCCTATCAAAAAGTGTTAAGGAACAACCTTGCATGTATCAAATTCCAACATAAGCTAATGAAGCATATTTTGCTAAAAACTTCAAGATAGAATATAACTTTTAAGTAATATATGAAATATTCGCGTCCGACCTTTATGGGCATTTAAAACTGTGAGCTGCAAGTGAGCAGTTTTATAGCCCATAAAGGTCCGACCCGAATATTTTATATTGCTTATAAAATTCCAACATAAGCTAAAGCATATTTCAAAAAAAAATCAGGATAAAATATCATTTGTAAGAGAAAATCGAAGTTAAAGTCCTATGTACAAATCAGGACAAATCTTTTGCTCATATACAGTCATGGCAATGATTTTCCATTGTGTTTACCTTATGAATTATTAAGTTAAATTAAGTAATTATTAAGTAAATTATTAAGTTTAATTAAGTAAATGCAAATATAAACAAACAGTCGKATTCGATTYGTGCTAAAGTCTTTGTTTGATTATGCCATTGTTTTATTTTCTCTTATATTTGCATTAACTTAATTAAAGTTTAGTCCTTGAGAA